CCAGGACCTCGCAGCCTGGCTCAGCTAGAGCCACGTGGCAAATCCCTCCCGCCCGCAGCCGTGCTGGGTCGAGGACGCCTGTCCTGGTCATTTCGTGGATGGGGCTGTCTGCACGTATCATGGTGAGGTCCCCTCAACCCTGCCCCCGTCCCAGGCCATTTCCCGGCCCCGCTTTGGCCCCAGAGTCAGTGAGGCGGGGTGCTCTGAGCCCCTGGCCGGCCCCCTGCTGTCCTTGCCCAGGGCCAGGGGGCAGGAAGTGCCAGGCCCCGAGGGCTGGTGCCCAGGACCGGCAACACGGGGGGCGCATGCATGTTTGTGCACGTGTGCCTGTCCGTGTGTGTGTGTGTGTGTGTGTGTGTGTGTGTACCAGGCCACGCGTGTGCGTGCACATGAGCACAAGAGTGTGCGTGCCTGCGTAGGCGGTGTCCCCACGCCAGCTCCCCGGGAAAGGCCGCACCTTCCGGGAGACGCCGTCCTCCGAGAGGCTCTTCCACAGGGCGCTGAGGGGCCTGGCGGCGTCCTCCGCTTCCTTGGGGTCCTGCAGGTCTGTGCTGCGTGGGGCGCCCTCAGCCCGCCGCTCGGTGCCCACCTCCAGGAGGGCCAACAGGGGCTCTGCGGAGCTGTCCAGGGGCAGGATCTGGGCAGAAGCACGCGGGGTCGCCCGCTGCTCCAGAGGGCCAGAGGCCCCGCTCCCCGAGCCGCGCCCTCACCTGGGAGGCAAGGTAGTCCTGGAGCCTCCCCAGGAGCCCGGCGTCCCTCCTGAAGTCCACGGCGTAGCAGTCCTCCAGCCAGGCCTGCAGGAGGCAGAAGCTGCGCCTGTAGATCTTGGAGGAGGTGGAGGTGGGATCCTGGTGGGCCCTGGGGACAGATGGAGGCCTGAGCCACGCAGGTCACCCCGCGCCCGCCTGGCGTCGCACCCAAGCCAGCGGGTGGGTGCATGGGGATCTGAGTGCTGGGGTCTGAGTGCGGCCCGCCCACCTGGTGCCTGTCCTGGAGCCCCTGCCACCCTCACAGCCGGCACCCGGGGGCTGGAAGGCGTCCTGAGAGGCAGGGCGGGAGCCCGGCTCTGCGTGTGGGGAAGCAGGGGGCTGGGGTCTCCCGTGAGTCCCTCCCCTCCCAGGGTTCCTGGCCTGGGCTTGTGCGGAGTCTGGGGGGCAAGGACAGGCCAGCTCAGAGGGCCAGAGCGCGTCCAGCACTGCCCACCGCCCCTTCCCTTGTTGACCCCACCTGCCGGCTGAGGCCCGCGGGACCCTCCCGGCCCCCCAGCTACCCTACCCCAGCCCACGGGCCTGGCGCTCACCGTCTTCCCACGTGTCCCAGCCCCCGCCCTCCGCCTCCCCGCTCCCCGGCCGCCGGCCCCTCCTGACACTCCTGCCCCTTTCCCGTGGCCTGTCTGCGGCCCGCTCCCCTTCCCTGCCCTCGCCGGGGCCTTCCCGGCGGCTCTGGCTCTGGCCTCGTCCTCGTCAGGGTCGGCGGGTACCTGGACAAGGTGCTGCTGATGCGGTCCAGCAGGAAGTGCAGGAAGTCGTGGGGGCTGCAGAAGTACCGGAAGGTGTACAGGAACTGCTGCACGTAGCCGTCCAGGAAGGCGTCGCTGCGGGGAGGGGGCGGTCAGCCGCCAGGACGCGGCCCGGCTTCCGCAGCCCCGCGGTCCCAGGGTGGGCGCAAATGGGCGCGTGTGCGCGTGAGCCCCTTGCCAGGAGGGAGGCTAGCGGGAGCGCCGCTCAGAAGTAAGTGGGGGGAGCACTGATCAGGTTAGAAATTCCTGGATGTTGCGAGTCTGAGGACTCTTGTAACATCCGTTTTTAAGGCCTTCACTGTGTCTTCTTTTAGAAACGATTCAGAAAGCTGAGCCAGAGCAGTGGCCCAGCCCCAGCCGGAAATCACTGGGTTAGGAAACAGGCAGCTGAGGGCGGGAGGGTCCTCGCCCCTTGGAGAGGGTCCCCCACCTCTGGGTGCCCCAGGGAGCCAGGAGAGCGAGAAAGAGGTGGGGGTCCAGGAACGAGGGAGCCTCTGCCTGGGACGTTGCGGCCTGGCTCAGGTCGGAGACTAGGCAGCCTGGGTTCAGCATCCCGCAGAGGGGACACCCGCGGGGTCTGCAGGGATGAGCCCACGCCCCCTCAGAGATGCTGTGCTCACACAGGACGTGCAGCACGCCCTGTGATACCAGTGCGCACACACGCGCGTGCTCTCATCTCCTGGAAAGCACAGTGCCTGTGGCGGCGTGTGATGTCGCATGTTGCAGAGGAGGCTGGAGTCTGAGGGGCAGCCTGGAGCCCCGCCAGCAGGAGCCCCAGTCAGCCCACCTCGGGGGAACGGGCCGGGGAGCGGGGAGAGTCAGCTGCCCCAGGAGGGTCCCCGCTCCCCACTGGCTGCCAAGAGCCAGCAGTCTGGGGTCACCACAGCCTCCAGCCCAAAGACCCCAGGGGCTCCGAAGTGGTGTCATGAGTCCCTAAAAGTCAACCCTGGGGTAAGGCCTCCGCCATCGTCTGGGAGGAGGTCTGTACCCAGCCCTGATGGGGCCCGGGAGGGGGCCGGGCCCTGGAGGAGGCTGCCCTGTGCCCGAGAACCAGGTGGAGCTGGCGGGGCGGACGGAGGGATGGCAGGGTTGGGTGTGGCCCGGGGGCCCCTGTGACCCTGGACGGAGGGGCCTGGCCCTTCCCGTGGTAGGTGAGTCCGCGCACCTGCATTATTAGGGGATCCCGCGAGCCTAAGCCCCGCTGATGCCCAGAAACGCTGCAGAGAGCTGGCTGGGGCCAACCTCACCACAGCCCCGGGGAGCCCAACGTTAACTATGGGGTGTCTGACTTAGGAAAGCGGATGGGGTCCAGGGGCCCCCAAGGCTCCCGGCTGCGTTCAGATTCAGAAGCCCACCGGGCTGGTAGTCACGGCGGCCGCATTCCTGGGCTCTCCTTCAAAGCGCCCCCTGCACACCTGACCCAGACCCCCAGGTCCACAGGTGCGGGCCCAGTAGGGCCCGTGGCTCTGAGGCCACTCAGCCAAGGACCTGGAGGCCAGCGGGAGCCAACACAAGGCAACTTAAAGGAAACTTTCTAGATAAAAAAGTGCAAAGCCGTCTCAGATGAGGGCAGGCGAGAGTTCTCACCTCTTTCACCCCCTGCCCCGCACCGCGGGGCCTATTTGTTTCCTCCCTGCTTTTGTCTCCGAAGGCTTGGGGGGCACAGAGACGCCCTCCCTCCCCGCTGCACCTGGAATAGAGGTAGGCCATGAGCCCCAGCGGCGTGCCAGCCTGCAGGATGCGGGCCTTCCTCTGCCGGCCGCCACGCGGGCGCTTGCTGGCGCTGTAGAAGGTGAGGGAGGAAGACTCGTCCAGGGGGCTGAAGTCCAGCGTGTCGCAGGGGGCGGCCGCGATGCTCACGATCACAGGCAGGGCGCAGGGATCCAGGCCCCACCGCTCCGCGTACATGACCTGGGGCGCGAGTCAGCGCTGTCGGGCTGACCTGCTGCCAGGTCACCCCACCCCTGACCCGGGTCGGGGGTGGCCTCTCAGGGGTGGGCATGTTTTCACAGGGACCGATTTCCAAGGTTGTAGCGGGAGGAGCCCTGCAAGCGCCAGGCCTCTGGAGGGAGGGGAGCGGGGGCCTTGCCTGTAGGTACTTCTTGACCAGCCCGAGGAGCTGCACCTTGGACCTCGTCTCTTCCAGCTGCCCTTTCAGTTTGGACAACATGGTCTTCACCTCGGAGCCTGAGGGCGGGCAGAGTCAGCCCAGAGCGGCCCCCAGCCCCAGCCCCGGCCACGTCCAGCGAGGCTACCTTTGTTCCGCTTCTCCTTCTGTAAGAGCTTCTGGTAGAACTTGAGGGTTTTCCGGAAGTTTCTCTTCTCTATCATGAGCTGCTGCTCCAGCTCCTGGAGAGGAAAGAGCCGTGAGCCCCAGGCGCCCGCCCCTCGGCAGTTCAGGGGAAGCAAGTTTGCACGCAGGACCCCGAGGCTGGCTGTTGGGCGAGAGAAGGGACGTCTGCATCTGGTCAATGGAACTGGACATCCAGACAGGTTAGCAAATGTCTCAGGAAACTAACTGGAAAGAACCAGATGTGATGGACTCCCTTAAAAAACGAGGCCAAATGTGTGAGGCAGCGGTGTCAGCCTCTCCTAACACCCCCAGGTGGCCTGCCCCCACCAGCCACCCAGGAGGAAAGGTGGGCAGAGTGGGGTGGGGCGCGTCCACTGCCGGTGGGTCCGGGCCACGGAGGGCCTGCCTTCCAGTGAGATATGCAGGCAGCACGCCCACTGTTGGGGGCCGGGGGGCCTGGTTTCACTCCTCCTGTGCTTTCTCTGGCCCTGGGGACTGGCCTCCGGTGGGGTCTTCAGGGCAGGTCCACACAGCAGGCGGTGGCTGTCCTCACAGGCACGAGTGGTCCTGAGGCCTCTGTGTGGCCCCAGGCACACCCCCTGAGGCCCCCACCCCACGCTTGGCCTCTGCCCCTCAGGACCCCCGTTGCGGTGCAGCCCGAGTCTACCCCTGTGGGCCAGGGTGCCTCACGAGTCCCCCGTGTGCTCGGCCACCCTGCTTTGAACATGAGGTTTGGACACACCCAGCGTCACAGACCCCACTTGACCCATCAAGACCGTCCCACCCCTGAGCCCACCGTGTAGGCCCCCTTGAGCCCCCGCTGCCCACTTGTTGCTTCCGTCCAGAAACGCAAAGACAGCGGCGGCTTCAGCCAGGCCCGGTCTCCACAAGGGAAGCGAGACCAAGACTCGCAGGCTGCAGGGGAGCCGAGGGCGCCCCACTTCTGCTTCGTGTGCCCAGCACGACGGGTCCCGGCCCCTTCCTGCAGGATCCGTATGTTCTCTCACACGGGGGGCAGGGAAGCCCTGGGGGCCGGACTCTGCCCCCTTGAGGGGCAGGAGAGGAGCCCATGATTCTGGGGCAGGAGTGGGCTTTGGGAAGCCTTGGGGGTCCCTGTGAGCTGGCCCCTGGGTTCTGGTGGGTCTTCCGCTGGGACCTTGAGGAGGACAGGCCACAGAGAGGGGCTGGGCTGGGGGCAGAGGCCAGGGGCCCGCTCAGACCCCTGGGGAAGCCACTTGCTGTTAATAAGAGGGTCAAGGTGACTCCCCAGGTCCTGAGTCGGCCATGCTCGGAGGAGCTCTACCCTGACAGCCGAGTATCTGAGCATTCATTCTGGGGAGTCTGATCACACGCAGTCCAGACAAGGTCCCCCATCCAATCGTCGTACAGCAATGGACTTAGCTTTGTCGAGAGCATCTATTTCTGAACAGTTCTGTGGAGTAAAAAGTGCAGGTGGCACTTTTATTTAAACACTCGAATCCCTTCTGTCTGGTGGTTTCACTGAAAACTGGTGGTTCACGTGGTTGTCCTTTTCCACGTGCTAGTGTTTTAACGACGGTCGTAGGCAGCCCCACGGTGCCGGGGTGGGGGGGGCGGACCTCCAGGCCAGGGCAGCTGGGGGGCAGGGCTGTGCCTGGAGCGGGGGAGGTGTTGCAGCCTGAGCACAAAACCTCGTCCCGTTGCGGAATCTCGGCTGTTGAACCTGGTCCCTCAAGACCTCTGGTTCCTCCTCCAGCTCAGCCGTGTGCAGCCTGTGGGGTGGCCCTGGGATGCCCTGCTGGAGGTCACCAGGAGCTGCCCCACAGCTGGCGAGATGTCACATTCCTGGACGTGCCTCGGAGGAGAGCTCGGGCTCATCACACAGCCTGGGTCCCATCCAGTCCCCATGTGACAGCTGGCCGGCCCCGGGCACGGTCGTGGGAGTGGGGGGGGGAAGATGGGGCAGGAGGGCATCACGACCCGCGTGCAGGACCTGCGCCCTCAGCACGGAGCCACAGGCCATACGCGGCCGCTCGAGGGTTAAATGAAAAGCGAATTCCTCAGCCACGTGGTCCACACCTCAAGTGCTCAGTGGCCACATGGGCCGGCGGCAGCCCCATGGACTGCGTGGTTCTGGAACGTCCCATCGCGGAGCACGTCCTGTCGCATGGTGCCGCTCGGGGCTCGGCAGTAGGCAAGGTGGCCCCGTGCCATCACCCTGTGCTGCCTGGCACTGTCTTGGTGAGGCCCAAGGGTCTGCACGGCACCCCCTCCCCCATGCCTGCTACGTGGTGGCCCTGGCTTCCCGAGGATGGTGGCGGGGACCCAGGCCTGCGTTCCAGGGCACAGCTCAGGTCCAGCCCTTCACCTCCGGGCCACTGCCCAGATGCTGACTTGAGAAAACTCCTCAGCAGGGGCTTGCGGGCATGGCGTGGGCCACCATCAGTGCCTCCATCACCTTGGCTTATAAAGCGTGAAGTCTGTCAGTGGCACTTCTCTCGTCACTGGACTGCAGACTGACTCTTAGAAAAGGACTGTTTTGACTGATTTTAAGTATAAATCTACACGAACCAAGATTCACAGGGCGGTTGGTGTGAGCTGGTGTCACCCCCATGGCCACAGCCCGGCAGGCGCACAGGCAGGCGTGGCCCCCAGGCCGAGGCAGACTGGTAGGTCTAAATGAAACACTCAGCATCAGTTGAGTTTAGGGATTTCCTCCCGGCCTAACCCGGCCAAGGGCTGTTCTCATAGAATTAAAGGAGCACCAGTTCACCGGACAAATGAGGATGATCTGAGGCACAGTTTGGGCCCAGCGGCTACTGGACTTAACGTGGCCCTGAGGCGGACAAATATGCAGAAGTAAACGAATAAAACAATAGAAAGAAGTCGGAAGAGACCAGACGTCAGAGACAGAGATGAACCGAAACCAGTGCCATCCCCCTAAATGCTGGGAGCAGAGCCTGTGCTGGCTACAAGGCGAGCCGGGTGCTCAGACTGGCTCCCTTGGCCTGGGGGTGCCCGCAGTGCTGGACACACAAAATCACGGCCAGGGCCATGGCTGCACCCACACGCACGGCAGTGCCGGGTGGACCGACGCTGCTGTGTGGTCAGCGATGGGAGGAGCCGCCCGCTTGCCCTCCAGCTGCCCTGCCCACCCCAGCGCCTGGCCTGTTGTACGCGCACTCTCTTTTTGGGCAGCAAATATGAAACATGTCCACTAGCTGTTTTATGCCTTTTGTGTCTTCCTGAGGCCCCTGTTTGAAAGAGACACAGCAGGTGCTCAGAGTGTGGAACTGTGGCCAGGGTCACCCAACCCACCCGCGAGGCAGGGGAGGGCACAGGGCACTCACCTGCATGCACTCAGGTTCCAGGAGACACGCCTTCCCAGGTGAGCAGGAGAAAGGGAGAAACATGGTCACTGGTCACCCTCCGGCGTTTCCCAGCCCACCTCACCCCCTCCGGATTGTCCCCCACGTGAGCCGCCCGCAGAGTGACGGTGGGACCCGGTGTGGGAGCCTCGTCCCAACCACGGGATCACAAGCAAATAAGAACAGATGCTGGCCCAGCAGATCTGGGACCTGAGCTGGTCCCAGCATCCACCTTCGAGGACGATCGACGTGCGATGCAGGGGGGGCACCCGGGGCTCACCTGTGGGCATGTCTCCCTCCAGGGAGCAGCCACCCCAGGATAGCATGGGATCGAGGACAGGCCCCTCGGCCCTAACCAGGCACCTGCACAGTGGACCCACTGGCACCACCCTCCACGGCCCTGAACACGACACAGGCTGACGATGGGGCTGCCTGTCCACAGGGGTCCACAAGGACGTGATGCTGCCAGCAAGCGTGACCTGTGACATCAGAGGTTGTGACCTGTAACTTTTGATGTCACAGGACATGACCCGTGCCTTCAGAGGACACACAGGGACCAGCCCCCCACCCTGCCCAGCACTGTCGAGAGGAGGCTGTGGGCAAGTACGCGTGGAGCTGCCTCTGAAGGGGCCCTGTCCTCCCTGGGGCTGGCGGCTGCTCCCGGGGGAATGTGGGCTCCCAGCCCTGCCACTCGCCAGCCCTGGTCTGCAGAGGTCCTATCTCGTGGTCCAGCTGAGGTCAGGGTGACACCACAGTGCTTCTGGTGGGACGCTGTGGACACCTGGGCTCGGAGTTGAGGGGGGGCACAGGAAGCCCACCAGGGATCGGGGACCCCCCGAGTCCCTCCTCTATTTAGATTCAGCTCCAGTGACGTCTGCAAGTTCGTTTCACCCTCAAGTCCCCAGTGCTCACCCCTCCATACTTTTTTTGTTCCCGACTCTTTAAAAATTTTTTTATTTTGAAATTTCTTAATCGTGACAAGATATACATAACATAAAATTTACCATTTTAACCATTTCTCATTGTGCAGCTCAGTGGCGTCAGGTACATTCATTCACACCATTGTGCAGCCATCACCACCACCATCTCCGGATGTTTTTCATCTTCCCAAACTGAAACTCTGTCCCCATTAAGCACCAGCTCCCCAGCCCCTGGCTGACTGACTATTCCAGGGACCTCCTGTAAGTGGAATCATATAGTATTTGTCTTTTTGAACTGGCTTATTTCCCTTAGAATAATGTCCTTAAGGTTTGTTGATGTTGCAGCAAGTGCCAGAATCCCCTGCTTTAAGGCTGAATAACATTCCTTTGTGTGGATGGACCGCATGTTGCTAAATCCATTCTTCCATTCATGCACACTTGGGGTGTTTCCACCTTTTGGCTGTTGTGAATAACGCTGCTATGAACACAGGTGCACAAATATCTATGAGTCCCTGCTTTCAATTCTTTTGGGTGTATATTCAGACGCTGAACTGCTGGCTTACGTGGGAATTCTATGTTTAAATTTTTTGAGGCATTGCCATACTGTTTCCCACAGTGGCTGCACTACTGTACATTCCCACCAACGTGCACAAAGATTCTGATTTCTCCAAATCCTCACCGATGGCTGTTTTCTGCTTTTTTTTTTTTTTTTTTTTTTTTTTTTTAGTTGCGGCCTCTCCCGTTGCGGAGCACAGGCTCCGAACGCGCAGGCTCAGTGGCCATGGCTCACGGCCCCAGCCGCTCCGTGGCATGTGGGATCTTCCAGGACCGGGGCACGAACCCACGTCCCCTGCATCGGCAGGCGGACCCTCAACCACTGCGCCACCAGGGAAGCCCAATAGCCATCCTAAGGGGTGTAAAGTGGTTGCTCATTGCGGTTCTGATTTGCTTTTCCCTGAGGACCAATGGCGTTGAGCTTCTTTTCATGTGCTTTTTGGTCATTTGTATATTTTCTTTATACAAATCTATTCAAGTCCTTCACTTGTGTTTTAATCAAGTTGTTTGTTTTGTTATTGTTGAGTTCATCGGTTCTTCAAATATTCTTGATATTAACCTCTTATCAGATAGATAGTTTACAAATACTTTCTTCCATTCCATAGGTTGCCTTTTCACTCTGTTGATGGAGTCCTTTGATGCACAGGTTTTAACTTTGAAGGCCAATTTGTTTTTTACTTTTGTCGCCTGTGCTTTTGGCATCATATCCGAGAAAGCATTGCTAAATCCAACGTCCTGAAGCTTTCCCTTATGTTTTCTTCTAAGAGTATTATAATTTTAGCTCTGTTTGGGTCTTTGGGTTTTTAGTTACTTTTTGTATATGGTGTAAGGTGCAGGTCTTGGTTCGGTTTTATGCGTGGGTTATCCGGCTTTCCCAACATCATTTATTGAAAAGACTGTCCTTCCTTGTTGAATGGTCACGGCACCCTTATGTGTGTGATAGTTTATTCCTGGGCTCTCTGTTCTATTCCACTGGTCTACACGTCTGTCTCTGTGCCTGTCCCACACTGCTTTGGTTACAGTAGCTTTGCAATGTTTTGAAATCAGAAGTGTGACTCCTCCAGCTTCGTTCCTTTTCACGATTATTTTGGCTGTTGGGGTCCACTTGGGATCCCGTATGAATTTTTAGGTGGGATTTCCTCTCTGTAAACAGGGCTGTCTCTCCCTCTTTCATTCGGCCGTCTGTGTCGGCGTGGACGCGTGGACGCACGCACACACGGACGTCCCACGCTGTGAGCCAGAGTCCAGCACTGGGTTCTTGCTTTTACAGCTCCCGCCGCTCCAGCTGTGGCCCCTGTGACCGCTGACACACCCTCTTCATTGTCTTGATCATTTCCTTACTTTCTGGCACCAGAGATGCTCCTGGCTCCTATTTTTTTTTTTTTTTTTTGTCCCAGTCCCAAGATCAGCCACTTCTCCAAGGAGCCCTGGTTCCTTTGATTGAGAACAGTATTAGAAACCAAGAACCGGGCACTAGGTGTACTCACTGCTGCTGGGGTGTCACTGCTTCCAGGCTCTCTTGGCTGACAGAACTAGGAGCTCTGTGGGGGCACATTAGGCTCTCCCCCACCTCTTGTAACCACCTCACAGCAAACGCTGTGCCCATGGACCCCTTCATGCCAGCCAAGACCCCAGGCTCCTCATGAGCCTTCAGTGTCAGAGTGGCTCCATTTTGGGAGGACCTGCTCCATACTCGGTTACGAGGCCTGCGCTGGTTTCAGGGTTGTCGTGAATGCTACCCCGTCGCTGATGCTGCACTCTGGCCTCTCATCAGCCTTGCGAGTCCCTCAACTGCCCCCTCCCGACCCCCGCCTCCCCTGCCTCCACTTCTGTGACGGCAGGCAGAGCAGTGGCATCCTGCCGCACTGGCACTGTCTGCGGAAGGCCGCTGGGGACGGGGACCACGACGCTTAGTAACTCCGAGTGAGCTGCACTGTGCACAAATGCACAGCAAAGGGCACTGAAGTGGGAGGAAGGAGACCAGGGCTCACGGGTTGGTAAGGGGGCCGGGGGCCACCCTCTCCTGTCAGAGCTCTGGACTCCGACACAGAGGCATCGGGCTTCCCCAACCTGGATGCCGCATGGGTGGGCCAGGGTGTCTGGTGGACATCTGCCGTGCCAGCTGCCCTCACCAGTCCCCATGGGAGGCCTGAGTCCTTGCAGCCCCCCACTCCCCCAGTCCACGACGCCAAGCACATTCGGGGCCCAGCTTTAAGGAAACCCGGAGTGGGCAGCACGATTCCCAAGCACACAGGCCCGTGCCCCGTGCTCCAGGCCCGAGGCATGTGGTTCTCTTTCTAGCTTGGGACTGAGTAACCAAGCGAGAAGGTTCGGAAGGTGCTGAAATGAGTGGAGATGCAGCTCCTGGGGCTCAAGGCTCGGAGGCTGCAGATGGTGAGGGTGGGGGTAGGAGTGGGACGTCAGGCCGCTGACAGCTCCCTCCTGTCTGCTACCCTGGGTCCCGGGCCCCGTGTGGCTGTGGCCCAAGTGGGAGCCCCTGGTCACGGGGGGAAGGATGCAGCCCAGGTCAGGCCTGAGTTCTTGGCCACGCAGGAGTGGGGCTGCAGTCCTGGTCAGGGCTCCTGGTCACTGGGGGGCAGATCCGCAATGGCACGGGCAGCAACCTTGGGGCGGGCCAGGCCCGGACACTCTCCAGCCTAGGGCATCCCCTCACCCTGCTGACCCGGGAGGAGCCCAGGCTGCCCCTGAGCTGGGGCGGCACGCAGAGTGCGCTGCCCACCAGAGATGCCCCCTGGGGCCTGGCCTGAGTTGACCGCCACGGGCCAGGTGCTTCTGTGCTGCTTTTCATCTTGTGGTGCTGCCTGAGGGCTAACCTTGATGCCCAGACCCAACTGTGGTCACCAGCGTGAGGTAACCTCCTGCCACATGTCCCCTGGTGGCCAAGGAGCCGAAAGAGAGAAAAGCCGTTTCCTTTCCCGGACGTGGGGGACGCGTGCAGATGAGCACAACCCCCGGGAGGACACGCAGGGAGGGGCCCAGACCAGCGTGGTGGCTGCTGGTGACCGACGGGCACCAGGGGTGGGAGACACGGGGGCCCTTCTGCCACCCGAGGTACCGGGAGCTCCAGCGTGAACCCGTCCTCATGCCCCACGGCGCCCTGGGGCCGAGCATCCTCCCTTCCAGCGGTGGACAGGAGCCCGGGACTCACCGGGCTCTGGGCATCGGCGGCGGGGCACCCGGCGGCCTTCTGCCTCGCCAGCTCCTTCACATAGCAGTGCACGTCGGCGCTGAAGCAGTCGGCCTCGTAGAAGGCGCTGCACCAGCCGGGGCTGCAGCTCTGCAAGCCGCCTGGGCCTGGGCTCACGGACGGGCCGCCCTCCGGGGGCCGGGCTAGCCGCACCGCTGCCTCAGAGCCCCCAGCCAGGCCCCCGCCCTGCTGCCGGGCCTCTCCTGCCTGGGGCTGCTCCCTCCCAGCTGCTACCGACTTCTGAGGCCGAAACCCCACCTCAAAGTTGCTCCGCGAGAGCTCGTCTGAGTCCACGCTCTGCTTCTTCCCTGGACAGAGAAAGTGGGGGCGGGTCACACGCGGCAACGTGGGGTCCCGGGGGAGAATCCGCCCCTGATTGCAGAGAGGCGACAGGTCCCTAGCAGGGGGCAGGAGCCCCTTCGGGATGGCCAGGTGGCCCCACCTCCGCTCCAGAGGAGCCGCAAAGGGTCCTCAGGGTCGGGGTCCCTCGGTCCCCTCCCAAATGGGCTGCCATGCAGGGCAGAGTTGGGGCAGAGACCCGAGGGAACTTTGAATTGTCCGTAAACAGACAAAGCAGAGAGTCCCCCAGGAACCAAGGGTCCCAGCTGGTCATGAGCTATTCTCTGGGCATCTCCATTTTACTTTCCAGTTTCCCAAGCGTGCACACGGTATGGGGGGCTCTCACTGACATCCTGCGTGTGACTGTAGTCACACAACCTAAAGGACATGGTCCCCAAAGCCAAGTCCCACTCAGACCGGATTTGGAGAAATTACAAAGATTTCAGTTATCAGGGAGTCCTGGCTATGGATCTAGGAAGATACGCCTCAGGGTCTTTAAATGGCACGTTTCCAAGAAAGAATGCAGAGCCCCCCCATCACCAAGCTGCTGGCCCCAGCCCTTGCCCTTGCTGCCCACCTGGTGGCCTGGGGGGAATGCCCCCCTTCGCAGTACAGACCCCCCAGAGGAGGACGGGCCCTGCCCTTGGGACCTGGAGAAACACAGGGTAACCTGGCCCCAGGGGTGGAGGAGGCCCAGCTGGGGAGGCTCTCAACCCACAGCCCTCGGTCTCACCCGCTCCGAGATGTGAAGGCCTTTTGCTGGACAGTGAGCGCGTGCTCGGAGCGCTGGTCCCACCGCTGCCCTCGGGCTGTGGCCCAGCCTCCTCGGAAGTGCTGCCATCAGAACGGAGGACACTGCAGGCACCCCCCGGGACCCTCCCGCAGGCTTACTAGAGGCTTCCCCTGGGAGCGAAGCGGGGGTGTCGGTGACCGAGGCCCCCCCCAGACCTCCAGGACGGCCTGGCCACAGGCCACAGACGTCACAGACACGGGCCCTTTAGCAGAGGACTTTCTGGGCGTCCGCCTCTTGGGGTCCTTCGACGGCTCCCCCAGTGATGTGAAAATGCGGGGCTTGCCTGGGGTGGAGAGCAGGGTGTGCGCCGCCTCTGGGTGGGGTTCTGGGGGCCAGGAGGGGGCGGGGACGGGGCTGCCGTGAGCTCGGGCGTCAGGGCGTCAGGGCGTCAGGGCGCTGGACCACTCCAGGCACAGGTCCCGCCCACCCTGCAACATGGCCCTCTGCAGCCCTCGGGAGGGGCTGGGCCAGGCCTGGCACTGAGGTGCCCGGGGCATGTCCTGTGAAGGGTGGGGCCCAAGAGGGCTGGGGGAGGGGGCAGGAGAGGGAAGGTGCCCGCCCCCCTCCCTCCTGAGCTGTCACCTCATCTACCGCCAGGAGGGGAGCTGGACGGGAGGGGGGCGGCATACGCTGGTCCCTGCAGGGGCCTCCCCGCAACCAAACCCGGCCTCCGGGCTCCGTTGCTCTGCCTCCTGAGCTGGTCCCAGGGAAGTGGATGTGCCTTCCGCGCCCTGTGACCCTACAAGCCCGCCCCCCTCCTGCCAAGAGGAGCGCTTGCCTGAAGGGAGACCTTTGGAAGCAGAGTGGGCCTCGGGCCAGGAAAGAGGGGCCCAGCAGGCGGTCGCTCTGGGGAGGGCGATGAGGGGGACGCGGGGCAGGAGGACGGCCCTCGGGGGCACAGCGGGGGTGGGGAGGCCGCGAGGAGGGGCTCTTACTTCTCGGAGGGCGACGTCCTCCCGTTCACCACTCTGAAAAGACTCTGCAGCAATCTCTCCCCCCAGTAGAGGTCACAGAACTTCTCGGATATGGCCCCACAGAAAGTGGCATAGGTGAGGCCTTTCAAGGCGTAAATATACTCTCCTGAGTTCGCAAAAAAACCACGGGGATGAGTTAAAATGTTTGAGTGCTCTTCTGGGTTCCCCTGGTCTCGGGAGCTGGTGGGGGGCGGGGTGCAGCTGGCTTGTTCTGCCGGCCAGCCCCTGGGGGCTCTGCCCTTTGTGCAGAGACGGGAGGGTGGGGGCCCCTCCTGTGGTGACCTCCCCCAGCGCATGGCTCCCCACACGCCTGTCCCTGGTCCTTGGGCCCCCGTGGCCCCGTGGTACCCATGATCAGAGCCTCCAGCCCGTGGTCCAGGTAGCCGTCAAAGGCAAACTCTTCCTGGATGAGGCGTGTGGTCTCCTGCAGCGATGGGCAGGCTGTCCCCTGTGAGAGCGGCGAGGCATCCACGCTGGATGGACAGAGCTTGTGGTCTGCTGGGCAGGGCCACTCCGGGTGACCTTCTGGGGCCCGGTCATCCCACTCCCTGACGGGGGCTTCCCCGGGGCCGTCGGGACTCCCTGTGGCCGGTGAGGGGCTCCGCAGGGCTGACGGGGACCCCTTGGGCTCCTGGCCTGGGACCTGGGTGGCCCTGCCCCTGGGCGGCTTGGCTGGGTGGCAAGGACTGTGGGGGGCTGCGGTGGGCCCGGGGAGGCGGGGCTCGAGGTCTCCACAAGCAGCTGCAGTTGGGATGGGTTCCTTCGGCCCTCGCTCCGGGGGTGGCATCTGTATTGTCACGGGCGGTGTCGGGGCCAGAGATTTGGGCATCACCAGTGAAGCCCCTTCCAGCGGGCTGGCTGGGGCAGGGGCTGGGGGGCTGGGGCAGCCCTGGGTTGAGTCTCTTGGCGCTGACTCTCTGAGGGGCTCTGGGGAACCGGGTGCTGGCTGGTCAGGCGTCTTCAGGCCGGTGGCCGCTCCATGGGCCTCAGGAGCCTGCTTCCCATCACCCTCCCCGTCCAGCCGGCCTCTCCTCTCCTCAGGCCTCTCAGCCGGCCCCAAGGTCAGGGCGAGCGTGTCCCTGCGAGCAGAGGGGAGAGAGTGTTCAGGGGGCCCGGCAGCCCGCCAGCCCCTGGGTGGGGACACTCACCTGGCGACACCAGCATTGGCAGCGAGGACGATGGGCCTGAAGTGAGTGGCCGGGGAGGTGAACGCCTCTGGCAGCAACGTGGCCCCTTGGAGGCAGGAGGGTTGACCGGGCACCGGCCTCGGCACGGCCACCAGCCTGCTGTCACTGCTGATCTGCATGAAGCCTGGAGACAAACATAGGGTGAGCAGGGTGGGTGCCGGCCTTAGTGGGTGCTGGTCTTAGTGGGGTGCTGACTTGAAGGGCCCAGGAAGCCTCAGGGGCACTGGGAGGAAGGGAGACTCCAGGGAGAGGCCTGAGGGAGGGGCCTGGAGTCCAGGGCTGCCCCGAGCAGGCAGGGAGGGGGTGCGGTGCTCGGTGGGGGGCTGAAGTGATGGAAAAGGCCAGAAGACCCAGCCACAGACTGGAGGCTTGGACGGGCCCATGGGGAAGGGTCTTCGTAGGTGCCACCGAGGCGCAGGCAGGGCAAGACAAGAGCTGGGTCATCGGTGCGGGGTGTGGGGGTGGAGGCAAGTCGCCTGCTCTGGCTGCCGGTGAGATGGGAGGGCTGACCCGAGCGAGGCCTGAGAGGCCGGGGCCAGAGGGGCCGGCGGGAGCCCAGAGCAGGGCAGCGGGGGGCCAGCTGTGGGCATGCTGCCTGAGGTCCCGGCCACGTCTGGAGGTGGCGTCCACTTGGGGCTGGATTCCCGGAGGAAGCCTCTGGGGGGACGGCAGCGGGGGCGCAGTGCGGGGCGAGGGGCCTGCAGGGCAGGGGCGGTGGGGACGGGCCGGTCCCGGGGCCCACCTGAGCCGGGCCTGGGCGCAGCTGCTGTGCTGGGGCTCAGTTCAGCCACCGAGAAGGGGTTTTGCAGACCGATGGTCTCTTCCTCCTGGCAAGCCTGGGGCAGAAGGACACGGACAGCTCCCGGTCGAGACGGGCAAGGCCCCGGGGTGCAGAGAAGACCCCCGCGGCGCGAGCCCCCCACCCATGCTGACTCGCAGGCTTGTTTCTCTGGAGCGGGAGCCCCTGGGGCACGGGGCTGCCCAGTGCAGCAGGGTTCCGGTGGGTTTCTGGGGCGTGGGAAGACCGCCAGAACCCACACTCCCCAAAGTTGCTGTGTGCTCCTGTCTGCATCCGAGGGACCCTGTCACTGCCCGATGGGGCCCCGGCCGGTCAGCATGGCAGGATGCCGACCGGCACTGAGTGTCCCTCGGCGGGACCCCCAGGGTGCGCCCCCGCCCGCATGTGCCAGGGGTCAACAGAGACCAGGGTGTGGGCCTGCGGGAGGGGCTGCTCTGTGGGCTCGTTCGCGGTGAAGGAGCCAAGGAAAGTCACGTCGGGAGGATGAAGGGTGACCTGCCTTCCGCCCTAGAGTCTCCACGCATCTATTCAGTAAACGCGGAAGAGCAAGGAGCCTCACCTCTGCGGCCCCAGGGTAGGATAAAGGGCCTGCGGGGTCTCCGCGGTGCCCAGCTTACCATGCAGGTCAATGCCCTCAGGTGGGCTAGGATCTTTCTGCTGTCCATGCCTCTGTGCAGGAGGTAACCGCTGCAGGTCTGAAAGCAAGCACAGGCCAGCGTCCAGCACACCTGGGGCACCGGCCCGCTTCACTCCCTCAGTGGAGCCCGTTGGAGTGTGCAGTGGCAGCCAGGCGGCCCAGGGGCTTCTCTCCAGGAGGACCCCGTGGCACCCCTTCTTAGGCAGAGCCATGTGCACCCCAGCCTCAGGGGCCTGGGATGAAATTCAGAGTCTCTAGCTGTCCTTCCTGGCTGTCCTGAGCTGGGAAGCCACGGAACGACGGGGCTCCCCCTGACCCAGACTGGAGGACCCTCGGAGGAGTGCGGGCAAGTCGGGCACGTGGGGGATGCGCTGCAGGGGATCAGGGGTCAGCGCTCGGGTCCAGGACATTCCCAACCACTCTCCGGCCAGTGGATGCACTGGAGACACAGGACCATCTTGGGGGAAGGCCGGCGTTGAGCAGCAGAGACCCCTTGCCTCCCGTGCACAAATGAAGCCATGTCCTTCCCTGTCCAACAGCACTGACCTGCCCCAGAAACAAGAACCCGTGTCCCGGGCCCTGGCCCTTGAGTTGGGCCCCCCGTGGCACAGTTACCTCTATGGCCTCGGCTGCGGATGGCCGCTCCTGGGCGCTGCGTCTGGCCATGTGCAGGAGGAGGGTCTTGAGCCTGCGTGGCAGGGCCAGCTTGTGGTCTCGGGGGATGCTGAACTTGGCTGCTGTCCACAGGATCGCAGCCACGCAGTACACAGACGCCTGGGTGGAGGAGGGGAGACAGCCGGCTGGCTCAGCAGACCTGACCCCGCTCGGGCCCCGCCAAGGGCGCACCCAGGCACCGTCCCCCAGGGCTGGGAGCTTCCGCAGACCCTGGAGGCCCCACCTCAGACCCTGAGCCAGAACCCGGGGGCCTGGCCTGGGAATCTGCATGGTTAACAAGTACCCACAGGCCTTTAAGTCTCAGTGTGACCAGGACGACCTGGGGCCCCAGCTGGACGCTCCCAGCTCTCTCTCCACGAGGGCAAAGGTGGCACCTCAGGGAGCCCGAGGCCAGGAGTCCCCCAGAAACCGTGCTGTGCTGCTAAATGGCTAAGGACAGGCTCTCTGAACAAAACCCCAGGCCTCTTGGTATACAAAGAGGTTTATTCTAAAATTTGCTGATAAAAAGGATGTGTCGCATGCACTTGAAAATAATAATGAAAAGGGCGATGCTCTTCTCTGTGATTCCATAGAGTCAATTGCTTCTCCCCGAATGCTCTCCCCGATTTTTACCCCCTACTCTTGTATCTGCAGCCGACCTGTGACCAACACGTGGTTCCGGCGTACACATGGCTGATACCTTTGTTTCTCTCGAAAAGTAAGAGAAAGTGAAACCAGAGACACAGCTGACATCTGTGCTGAGTCAGGTAACAGTGGCTGAATCCGCAAAGGAGTATTTCCCAGAGCTTTTGTACAGACCTGACACACTTTTCAGTTTAATTGTGTCATTTGTGTTTCCTCCATTACGTCGTCAAGTCTAGTCAATTGACAAAACAGCGAATCAAGCCCTGAGTTCAGCATTTGCTGATTTCCACGGTGTGAAGACTCCCGCATGGCCAGCTCCAAGCTGCCAAGGTGGTGCCAGTGAGCCGGGCAGGGGGAGAGATGAGGGGGGCCCTTCCTATAGGGCTCCTGCCCAAGAGGAGCCCTCCACCGCATATGGGATCTTCCCGGACCAGGGCTCGAACCCATATCCCCTGCATTGGCAGGCGGATTCTCAACCACTGCGCCACCAGGGAAGCCCTGGTATTGTATTTTTAATTTCAAATTCCAATTGTTCATTGCTGGTAAACAGGAAAGCAACTGACATTTGTATTTTAATCTTCTATCTGCAATCTTGCTACAACTGCTTATTAGTTCCAGGAGATTTCTGTTGATTCTTTAGGATTTCCTACTTAGGCAATCATGTCACCTGTAAACAAAGACAGTCTTATTTCTTCCTTCTCAATCTACATCCATTTTCTTTTCTTTTCTTGACTTATTGCATTAGCTAGGACTTCCAGTACGATGTTGAATAGGAGTGATGAGAGGAGACATTCTTGCCTTTTTCCCAATCTTAAGGGGAAAGCATCTAGTTTCTCACCATTACTTATGCTACCTGTTGGCTTTTTTGTAGATATTCTTTATCAAGTTGAGGAAACCTCCCACTATTCCTAGTTTGCTGAGAGTTTTTATTATGAATGGGTGCTAAATTTTGTCAAAAGCTTAGCATCTATTGTTATGATTTTTCTTCTTTAGTCCATGTGATGTATTATATTGACGCTCAGTTGTTGAGTCAGCCACATCCATACATGGAATAAATGCCACTTGGCCAGTTTTAAATTTTGATGAAGTTCAATTTATCCACTTTTCCTTTTGTGGAAAACTTTATGGAAAGTGCTTTTGGTGTCAAGTCTAAAAGCTCTTTGCCTAGCCCTCCATTCCAAAGATTTTCTTTGATATATTTTTTTCAGCAGCCTTTTGTAGTCTTTAGCATATAAATTCTGTACGTGCTTTGTTAGATTCACATCTAAGTATTTCATTTTGGGGGGAGTGATTGTAAATGTACTGTGTTTTTAATTTTGGTGTCCACATGTTCATTTCTACTATATAGAAATACAATTGATTTTTGAATGTTTATCTTATATCCTGTGACCTTTCAAAACTAAATTCTAAGTTCTGGGAGGCTTTTTTTTTGTAGATTCTTTGGAATTCCTTGGAATTTTCTATGTCGTCAGTTATGTCGTCTGCAAACAGTATTATTTCTTCCCTCCTGGCCTTTATGCTTTTTACCTGCTTTTCTTGCCTTACTGTAGTGGCTAGAACTTCCAGTACAATGTTGAATAGGGTGGTGAGAGTGGGCATCCTTGCTTTGTTCTTGATCTTAGGGGGAAAGCATTTAGTCTTTCCACTAAGTATGAGGTTAACTGTACAGTATTTTTGGTAGATGATCTTTATTAAGTTCAGGAAGTTTCTTCTATTTTTATTTTTCTGAGTTTTTTTTTTTTTTTAGTAGATGGGTGTTCAATTTTGTCAAATGCTTTTTCTGCATCAGTTAATGTGATCATGGGATTTTTCTTCTTTAGCTGGTTAATATGTTGGACTACACTGATTGCTTTTCAAATACTGAGCCAGCCTTATGTCCCTGGAATAACCCCCACTTGTTTATGGTGTATAATTGTTTTTATATCTTAGTGAATTCTATTTGCATATATTTTGTTAAGGATTTTTGCCTTTATATTCAGGAGGGATATTGACCTATATACATATTTTTTGTCCTATCTTTGTCTGGTTTTGGTATCAGGGTAACATTAGGCTTCGTCGCATGGGTTGGGAGTGTTCACTTCTGTTTTCTGGAAAAGACTGTGTGGAATTGGTGTTAACCCTTCTTCAGACACCTGGTTTTTACCACCCGAGTGAAAACATCTCGGCCTAGAGATTTATTTTTGGGAGTTTAAAAATTACAAATTCAGGGCTTCCCTGGTGGCGCAGTGGTTGGGGGTCCGCCTGCCGATGCAGGGGACGCGGGTTCGCGCCCCGGTCCGGGAGGATCCCACATGCCGCGGAGCGGCTGGGCCCGTGAGCCGTGGCCGCGGGGCCTGCGCGTCCGGAGCCTGGGCTCCGCCACGGGAGAGGCCACAGCGGTGAGAGGCCCGCGTACCGCAAAAACAAAAATTACGCCCCGGTCCGGGAGGATCCCACATGCCGCGGAGCGGCTGGGCCCGTGAGCCGTGGCCGCGGGGCCTGCGCGTCCGGAGCCTGGGCTCCGCCACGGGAGAGGCCACAGCGGTGAGAGGCCCGCGTACCGCAAAAACAAAAATTACAAATTCAATCTCAACAGTTATGGAGCTATTCAAAGGTCTGTCTCATCTTGGGTGAGCTGTAGTTTATATTTTTTTAAGATTTGGTCCATTTCATCTAAGTCATTGAATTTTATGTGTGGGGAGTTGTTTGTGGTATTCCATTATCCTTTTGATGTCTGCAGGGTCTGCAGGGATGTCCCCTGAGTCATTCCTGACACTGGTAATTTGTGTCTCCCTTCTCTTTTTGCTTTGTCAGTTTTGCTAGAAGTTTGTTAATATTATTGGTCTCTTCCAAGAGCCAGCCCTTCATTTCATTGGTTTTCTCTACTGTTTCTCTGTTTTCATTTCATTGAGTCCTGCTCTCAGCTTCACTGTTTCCTTCTTTCTGCTTTGGGTCTATTTCACTCTTCTTTTGAGGTGGGTGCTTAGATTACTGAGTTGAGACTTTACCTCTTTTTTAGTTTTCAGCATATGAGTCCTGTACATGCTTTGTTAGACTTACATCTAAGTATTTCATTTTTAGTGATTGTTTTTTTTTTGAGGGGAGGTTGACTCGTTACCACTGGGTGATGCTGAAAGTCCCAACTCTTCCTGAGGCCTCCTCTGACTTACACTCCCACCCCGGGAAGGGCACGTCTCACTGATGGGCAGGGGTCCTCGTCACAGGCTGGATGCTCAGCCTTTTCCGACAGCACCTGGCCTGGGCGGGCCGCCCTCCCTTTGTCCTGCTGCTCCAGCTCCAGCATGCGGGCTTCCACTGGGCTTCTGCTGTGTCCGCTGGTGTTTCTCAGATATGCTTCCTCATCCTCCACGTGTGAGGTAGGAAGGACACCCGGGACTCTTAGGACCGTCGCTCCCCGGGCCCAGGGCCCTGGCCTTTCTGTCCTCACACGCCAGCTTTCAGAACGGCGTGCTTTGTTTGGGGGCAGGGAACTTACATCCCCCCACGTTCCCGAAAGCGGAAGTTTTACCTTGGTGCTGAATATAATTTACTCGATTTTAAGTCTGTACAATTGAATTTTTAATAACGGCTGTGTTTGACAAGCATCTGGCAAACATCCCTGAAAGTTCAGCCGTGGGGTCTTGTGAGCACTGCCCGGAGCTGAAGTCCAGGCTCAGATGACACCCTTGTCACCCTCCGGGAGGCCCCCGCAGAGCCGGGCTCTGGACGCGGGGGCTGCGTTGCGGGGGTCGCCTTGACTCTGCTGAGTCCTGATGCTGGGCCCATCCTCTCCCCACCCCCTCCCCCTTTCAGGCTCTCTGGACGGAGGGCGTGGGCACCACAGACAGGGGCAGGGGGCCATGGGATGGGGTGGGGAGGGCCCAGGTACCTTTTCAGTCGTCAGCTTTTGCTCTGCGACCTCAGGAGCCAGAAAGAACGAGTTGTAAGCACCTGAGAGGGAAAACCCCAAACCCACTGAGCTTTCCTTCAGCCTTGGCTGTCGGAACCAGAGCGCAGCCCCCCGGGAGGGCCCACTTACGCACCGCTGGCGGGAGGTGGCCCAAAAAGCACAGTTCCATCCTCGGCCACCAGCACGGAGTCCAGACACAGGTAGGCTGCAAGGAAAGGCGAGGGTCAGGGCGGCTGTAGACTCACGTCCCCTTCAGGGCCGGCAGAGCCACGGTCGTGGGGCAGGCCCCTCTCTCAGCCACCCCACGGGCTCCCAAGCCACCCAGGGAGTGCAGGGACGCTGGGGCCCTTGCTGGACACAGCACAGGGGCCAAGGGCTGGCTCCCCTCCCCAGAGGCCCGGGCGACAGGCCACGGAAGGGCCACAGGAGCTGCGGGAAGAGGAGGGGGACAGAGGGACGTGACCCACCCGCCGAGCGCGGCCCTGGGAGGGGTCCCGGGGGAGGCTGGGTGCCGGCGCTTTGTACCCACAGGCCTGAGGCTCACAGGACCTGAGGGAGGCCAGAGAGCAACGCCCCTGCCCTGCTAGGACCACCGTGGGGCCGGAGACCGGTCCCTCTGCCTGGTAGAGCTGAGCTTCAGGGGCCACAAACGAGTCTAACGTCCGAGGATCGCCCCCCCGCCAGCCAATCTTTGTCTCCTTGGGGACAGCGTCACCCCTTCTAAGAGGGTGTGGCCCAGGGCCACTGCACAGCTCCTGTCCCTCCTCGGCAGGTGGAGGCCCACGTTTGAAGCTGCCCTCTGACCCCCTTGGTCCTGAGACCAGAGTAGGTACCCCCAGGTCGCCCCCGGCTCACAGGGTGGACACTGCCACCCGGCCCCAGGCTGCCCACACAGCCCACATGGGTGACAGAGGCCACGTGTGGCCCTGGGTCCTGACCCGGACATGCTGGGGGTTGGCATGCTGGACGAGGACCCATGGGAGGGCGTCACCTGGGTGCTGGCCGTGCGTCCGCAGGGTGCTGAGGCATGCGTGGGACAGAGCCCAGAGCTCGTACTCCTTGAAGGGCCGGCGCAGCTTAGACAGGAGGTCCTGCAGGGAGACGCCCTGAGGGGGGCGGGGGGAGGAGCCACATTCAGTGTGTGGGCACTTCAGAGGGGTGCATGGAAGAAGACGACAGGGCAGGGACCACCTCAAACACGTGGGGTTTACCCCACACAGTGCACCCCCGGCACGGCACGACGGGCTGGGAGAGTCCCCACGTCAGCACAACAGGTGCTGGGGGTGCACGTGGAGAAACCAGCACCTGTGCATGGCCGGCGGGAACATAAAACGGTGCAACGACGTGGAAAACAGCACAGAGGCTCCTCAAAGAATCAGACGGAGAATTACCATCTGACCCAGCAATTCCACTTAAAAGCAGGGTCTTGAAGACGTATTTGCACACCCATGTTCAAATCAGCATGATTTACGAGAGCTAACACATGGAAGCAACCCAAGTACCATTGGTGGATGGATGGATAAGCATTATGTGGTCCATCCATAAGATGGATATTATTCAGCCTTAAAAAGGAAGAGAATTCTGACACAGCTACAACATAGATGAAGCCTGAGGACACTGTGGTCCGTGAGGTAAGCTAGTCACAAAGGGACAAACATTGTATATTTCCTCTTCTATCAAAGACTGAGAGTAGTCACGCCCATAGAGACAGAAAGTAGACGAGAGGTTATCAGGGCCGGGGGTGGGGTGGGGATGGCAAGTAAGTGTTTAATGGGGACATAGTTTCAGTCTGGGATGATGACAAAGTTCCAGGGATGGATGATGGTCATGGTTGCACAACAGTGTGAATGTACCTAATGCCACTGTCCTGTACACTTGAAATGGTTAAGATGGTAAATTTTATGTTATGGGTCCCCCTTCCCTCACACCGCCCGCCCCCCAGATTAAAGTCCAAGAGTCAGAAGAATGAGTTCAGCTGGAAGGGAGTTCTCTGCTTTGCGGCCACGGGAAGAGCTGGCAGCACAACCGCCCGCTTGGACACAGAAGTGCATGTTCAGAGGAAGGTTCCAGAGGCAGTGTCTTCACCCCTCCTGGACGCCCCTCTGTGCCCAGGGTGTAGCTGCCTCGGTCCTGAGACTTCACTGCCTGCCTCATCCAGTCTGTGCCTGGCCAGCGGCCCAGGTTCTGGGGCACAGGGCCTCCCAAGCCTCCTGCTACATGTGGGGTTGGAGCAGCTAGCTCTGCACCCAGGACATGCTCTCCAGAGGAGATCTGGGTCCCCGACTCTGGACCAGCCCTGACACCTGACGGGTTGTGACCTGTGTGGGGGCCAAAGTCTGGTGGGCCCTGATGCCTTGAGCCTTCGGGGCAGGGAAGCCTGGTGGTTAAGACCATGGCTGGGCTCCCAATCAGCTCTGCCCTTCAGCGACCGCCCACCCTCCTCATGGCGGCCCCCAGCCTCAGTTTACCCATCCGGAAGGTGGGCTGTCTGTGAGGCTGGTGGGCATTTGAAGGTGAGCAGAGCCCTGGGCTCAGGCCTGAGGTTTTCACCTCGGTGCCTGGGCGCTCTGGGTACACGAGTGTGGTCGGGTGGGTGGACGTGGGGAGGCCAGGGGAGATGGTCTGGGCTGAGTGGACAGCACGTGGGCATCGAGCACGTGTCAACGCGATGGTGTCTTCAGGATGGGCTTCCATTTTAAAGTAATCATATTTTTCAAGTAAATTACCCTCAGGTGCTTATCAGGATATGAATAAAAATGTAACTCAGAGTCTGCCCTCCCCTTTGACCTCTGGGTCAGCAAAGCTTGATGGGAATGAAGCTGGTGGAGTCGGCACTGCTGTACAGACACACGTGTGTTCGGGCCACCGAACCCCAGGTGACTTCGTCCCGAGATGCTCACAGGCACCCACCTTAGGGGAGCGACTTACTTCGTACTCAAGAGCCCGCGCCTGCGGAGGGAGCGTGTGCGCGGTGCGTGTGCACCCAGGCCCCTCCCGGGCCACGCAGGCCACGGTCACCCACCTGCTCCAGGGCTGCTCCGCCCGGCTCCCCGGCTCTGTCCGCAGTCCCGTCATCAGGCTCGGGAGTCCCTGGGTCTCTGCCGGCATCGCGAGGGCCCTTGGAACCGGGCAGGGGGCTTCCCTCCGCGGGGCCAGGGCCACGCGCCCCCCTGTCCCCACTGCGCCGGAGCTCGACGTCTCGCTCCAGCCACAGACTGGATTCGGGCTGTGCCTGGGAGCTGGTAAGGCCATTTTTCCCCTCCGGAAAGGGCTTCCTGGGGTCTGGAGGGAAGAATTCTGGTGCCGGTGGCTGGGTTTTCGTGCTGGTCAGCGACAGGCAGAGGGCACCGGCCTCGGGGCTGCAGGGTGGGAGCCAGGGCAGCGTCTGCACCTCCCTCAGGCGGCTCCTCTCCAGGGAGCCTCTGTCCGGGTCCCCCAGGGGCTGCTGGGCATCCAGGAGGAGGCAGGCCAGCCTTTCGGGGACCAGCCCCTCCTGGCCCGGGCTTTCTCCGTTTTTCACAGGGGCTGACAGCAGAGCCTTGGAGGGCGGGGTCCCCGGGTGCTCCAGGCTTTCTCCGGCGGGGCTCGGGGGCCGGCCCTCCAGGGCAGGCAGGGCCGCTGGGTCCGCGGAGCGGTCCCCTGGCTGCCTCTTGGGCCCCACATTTTTTGGAGCCAGTCTCTCCCTCCAGGTGATCTCACTGACATCTGGGCAAAAGCAAGACGTGATTACAGCCGAGGGCCACGGCCAGGATGGACCTCCCCCTGCAATCCCCACGCTCACGGCCACCAAGGCACCCACTCCTGCAGGACCCCTGGACCCCCACCCATCACAGAGAGCACGGGGCCTCCCAGGCCCCCTACCCCTTCCCTAAGGACTGGCCCAGAAACGTCCTCATCTGCTTCCTTAATCACACCATCTTGGCTAAGTAATGAGTCTCTGAAGGCTCTCGGTCCCCCCCGCTGCCCAAGCCAGGATGAGCTTCCCGAAGGGGTTTCCTAAGGCCTGTCTAATTAGCTCATCCAAAAAGCACATGGTTTTGCTATTACGGTTACACAAGTGATACTCCCCAAAGGCATAAATTAAACCTGGCAGCAGCCCCAGCTCATCCTGACGTACAACCTTCCACACACGTGTCTGTGTGAACCCCTCTAGAGACACACGCCCTCCCCTCCCAGTGGCCTGCAGCCCCCTCAATGGAGCTTCTGCTCTCAGTGTTAACGCCCTCCCTGATGTTAGAGCCGCCAGCGGGCCTGGTGCTGCAGTGTCACAAACGCCAACGTGGTGGGAAATGCCGCTCGCTTGGCTGGGGGAGGGGCCCTGCCGCCCCCAGAGGATCCACACCTCCCCTCAGGACCCTCCAGGCTCCCTGCTGCGAGCACAGCGCAGAGCAGACGTTGGCATTTGTTCAAAATGCCACCCGAGATTATGCCTTGTGAGCCATGAAAATCCCAGGTGCTTCAGCAACAGCTTGTGTGGCCGGGAAGTAAGTGGCCACCAGACAGGCGGTGCTGTGTCCATGTCCCCAACGCCCACAGAAGAGGACAGAGGTGACCAGTCCTGAGGGCAATCACTTCCCATATGACCTGCCTCTCACCTCCAATTGTGGGTCAGAGCGTGTGAATGTTTGCAGACGTGTTTGTGCGTGTGGGAAACTGTGGGCGTGTGCTGCGTGTGCACGGGGGTGTGCTCGCTGTGTGAGTTAATAGTCTAAATAGGTGTGTCCGAGTTTGCACATGCTTGTATGTTTCCATGTGTGCTGTGGGAGCACGTGGGATCTGTCTGCGCAAACGTGTGTGTACGTGATCGTGTTAATGCTTGTGCATACCCATGTGTGCGTGTGAGTGCGTGCACATGCCTGGGCGCGTGTGCAGGCTCGTCCACCCGTGTGCTTACCTTGAAACGCCCCGAAGGACTCGATGGAGAGCACCCTCCTCCCGGCAGCCGAGAGGCTCTGGCACAGGCGGCAGGAGGACGTGAGCTGCATCTTCCCCTCGCACAGTGCGATGATGCTCTGTGACCGGAGGCAGCACTCAGCCCCACCCGGCCCCCGCCGCCCCCTTGCCGCTCTAGGCGCCGGGATTGCGAGGCGGGGCGTCCTGAGCTTCATGATCCCCGCGGGACAGAATCTGCTACGTGAAGCCAGCGGATTCTGTCCTGCCTGTGACAGTTATAATGCACACGCCCGTTCATCGCAAAAATGCAGAGTAAAGCAGTCGGGAGCCCGGGTGACGGGCCGGTGGGGGCCCGCGTGTGCGCGCTGGCTGTGCATGCACCTGGCTGGGGGCGCACGGGGGAAGCGGGGGCTGCCTTCGCGCCTACCTGCAGGTCGGGCCGGTCCTGGGGGTCCTCGGCCTGCATCTGGCCCAGCAGCGCTTCCAGCTCCCGGCTCAGCCTGGGCTGGGGCTCGGGCTCCGTCACATAGTCGAGGGCTGCCTTCAGTGTGGCCCCCAGAGAGTAGATGTGGGCCTGCGGCAGCACCAGAGAGCCCACTGGGCGTGGGGCAGGGCCTCACAGCCTCCCCGGGCAGCACCTGTCCCCAGGCAGCCGCTGCTCCTCTGGGCCTGGAGCACCTGCGCTTTACAGGGCCGCCTCCCCTGCCCCCAGCGCGGCGATTCTCCTGGCCCCGGGCCACCCCCATGCTCCTGGGCCTGGGGTCTGTGCCGGCCCTGCGCCACCAGCCCCAGCCCACCTCCCCGGCACAGGCCCTCGCCTGGCACAGGCCCTGTCTTCAAAGGGCCAGCCTTTTCTTTTTCAAGTGTATGCTTCAAAAACTGATTTGAGGAGGAGGAAAGGCAGGTTTCTTGCAGTTTGGAAGTCAGGGTTTTCCCCTGTGAGAGTGGGGCTCTTCACCCCATGCCCGCTGGGACAGGCTCACAGGGAAGGCCTCAGCCCTCGGGTCCTGGAGGGGCTGCCGACCCCCGTGGCCAGGTGTCCTCCAACACCATCTGGCCTTCTCGCCTCATCCCAGGACCGTGCACGTGGGGCTTCATCATCCCCGCTTCACTCACAGGTAGCTGAGACCAGAGAGGTTCAGGAACCTGCCTGGGGCCGCACAACTGGGCCAGGAGGAGCTGGTGGGGGCCCTGGGCCATGTGGCTCCAGAGAGGTGGGTCACACAGCTCAGGAGTAGAGGCTGGGCCCCCAGAGGCCGGCTCTCCCCACCTCCCTGCCCCGGAGCTCTCCCCACACCAACCAGTGAGTCCCTCACCTCCAGCCCTGGGCCCACTCTGGTCCAGGGTCAACACCTAGCCAGGGCCAGACTCAGCATGGCTGAGTGGTGGGGTCCTGGCCCTCTCCCTGGACAGCGTCGTGACTTGTCAGGGACGTCTTGCCCGGCCTCGTCACATGACCCTCAGACCCCACCTTCCTGGTCTGTGGGGAGGTCTGCGACCACCGGCTCTTGCTGTTGTTCTAGGGCTGTCTGGTTTCCACTGGCCGCCTGGCTGAGACGTGCCCTCCTGACCCACCTCCCTGCCAGCGTCTCTCTCAGGAGCTGGGCACGTGGGGGTCTACCCCTCGCCACTCAGGGCAGTTCCTGTGTTTTGCTGTTGTGGCCAGCGCTGCAGTGGCCGTCGTCACGTGGACGTCTCTGTGCATCCGCAGCATGCTCACGAAGCCTCAGGCCCCGCAAGTGGGGCTACCAAGCTGGGCTACATCCGTTCCATTTGCAGTTTTCGGAGCTGCTGAGGAGCTTCCCTCGTGAGTGACCGGCCCAGCCATGTGCGTGTGTCTGTGCGTGTGTGTGTGGGTCAAACCCCCTCCCCCTTCCAGCTCAGTGTCTCGTGCTAACCTGCATTTCTGTGACCGTGAATGAGACCAAGCATCTGTTCATCTCTATTTGCTGTTTTAAATTTTCCTCTTTATGCCCACTCGTGGACTTTGCTCACTTGTCCGCTGAGCTGTTCCCTGTTTTGAGTGCACTCTTGGCACATGAAGGGGCTGATCCCTGGTCTGTGTGTCACACGTATATTCTGTCACTGATGTTTCAATTTTTTCATGTGTCTTTTGACATTCAAAAATTCTAATGTTTAATTTGTGAAACTGGATGATTTTTTTTATTGCCTTCTTAAGAGGACCTTCCCTATAGCCCAAGACAATAAAAACAGCTAACTTCTGCTTTTTCCAATACTTCTATAATTTGAAAGCATCTAGCTCTAATCCCTGTGGGTTGTACCTGTGAGCTGGCACACTGCAGGGATCTGGTTTTGGCTCCTTCCTGATGGACAGCCACCTCCATCTCCCACACTGTTAAAGAAGAGCCCACCCTCTGTCCACCCTGAACCCTCGTCCTGCTGCCCTCAGCTCCCCAGGGCTCCAGGCTCTGGCTGGCCTCCCCTCCTCTTACTCTGTGTCTCTCCCTCTGTCCAGACTGTGCTGCTATTTTAATTATGGTAGCTTCAGAGTGCATTTTCTTTCTTTCTTTCTTTCTTTCTTTCTTTCTTTCTTTCTTTTTTTGCTGAGCCATGTGGCTTGTGGGATCTTAGTTCCCCAACTTGGGATCGAAGTGAAAGCGCCCAGTCCTAACCACTGGACTGCCAGGGAATTCCCCAGAGTGCATTTTCATACCTGGTGGACAAATGGCCCTCCTTTTTTTCCCCCAAAATGTTTGATTATTTTCACATTTGTCAGGTTTAAGATATATATATATATATATATATATATATATATATATAGGTTCCCCCATTCCCATTAAAAAAAAAAAACCCAAAAGGTTGGAATTTTATTGTAACAGCACTGACGTGGCAGAATTTGGCAAGGACCAACGTCATACAAGATGAAATACTTGGATGTCAGCAAGATGGCTGTCCCTAGATTGTATTCCCCTCAACAACAATTTGGCATCCATCTGCGGACAAGATTTCCTTTGTGGGAGCTGTGGGATCCAGCAACGTATGCCAAGGGACCTGGCAGGAGTCTTGCCCAGCTGTGTGTCAGGTGAGAGGCAGACAAACCTCTGTCCTGGTTGTGGACCCTTTAGCTAGACTAACTAGGGAAAAAAAGAGAGGACTCAAAAAAATAAAATCAGAAATGAGGGATGAGACATTACACCTGATACCACAGAAACACAAAGGATCATAAGAGACCACTATTTATATGCCAACAACTTGGATAGCCTAGAAAAAATAGATGAATTCCTAGAAAACTACAACTTACCAAAACTGAATCATGAAGAAACAGATAATCTGAACAAACTATTACTAGTAAGGAGATCGAATCAGTAATCAAAAACCTCCCAACAAAGAAAAGCCCAGGACTAGATGATTTCAGTGGTGAATTCTACTCACATTTATTTAAAGAATTAATACCAATCCTTCCTAAATTCTTCCAAAAACTGAAGGAGAGGGAACACTCCCAAACTCATTTTATGAGGCCAGCGTTACCCTGACATCAAAGCCAGTTAAGAACAGTACAAGAAAACTATAGACCAATATCCCTGATGAATATAGGTGTAAAAATCCTCAACAAAATATTAGCAAACTAAATTCAAAAGTAATTAAAAGGATCATATACCATGGTCAAGGGGGATTTGTCCCTAAGATGCAAAAATGGGTCAATATACACAAATCAGTAACTGTGAGTCACCATATTAATAGAATAAAACATAAAAATCATATGATCATCTCAATAGAAGCAGAAAAAAGCATTTGGCAAAATTCAGCATCCTTTCATGGTAAAAACTCTCAATGAACTGGGTATAGAAGGGATGTACCTCAACATAACAAAGGCCACATATTACAAGCTCACAGCTAACATCATACTCAATGGTGAAAGGTTGAAATCTTTTCCTTTAAGATCAGAACAAGACAAGGATGCCCACTCTCATCATTCCTTTTCAACACACTGGAAGTTCTAGCCAGAGAAATCAGTCAAGAAAAATAAATAAAAGGCAACCAAACTAGAAGGGAATAAATAAAATTGTCTCTATTTGCACATGATATGATCTTATATATAGAAAATCTTAGATGCCACCAAAAATCTTTTAGTAACAACAAATTCAGTAAAATTTCAGGATACAAAATCAGCGTGCATAAATCAGTTACATTTCTATACACTAACAATGAAATATCTAAAAAAGAAATAAAGAAAATAATCACACTCACAATAGCATCAAAAACAATAGAATATTTACGAAAAACAATAAAATATTTAGGAATAAATATAACCAAGCAGGTGAAAGATATGTATATTGCAAAGAATAAGACTTTGATGAAAGAAGTTGAAGACACAAATAACTGGAATGATATCCTGTGTTCATGGATCAGAAGAATTAATATTGTTAAAATGTCCATCCTACCCAACGCCATCTATAGACTGAATGCAATTTCTATCAATATTCCTATGGCATTTTCATAGAAATAGAAAAAAATCCAAAAGTTTGTATGGAACCACAAAAGACTACAAATAGCCAAAGCAATCCTGAGAAAGAGCAAAGCTGGAGGCATCACACTTCCTGGTGCGTGTATTACACAGCTCTAGTAATCAAACCAGTATGGTATTGGCATAAAAACCATCACATGGAACAGAATTGAGAGCCCAGAAATAAAACCACGCATATACAGTCAACTAGTATTTGACAAGGGAGCAAAGAACCCTTACTGTGAAACGGCAGTCTCTACAATAAATGATATTGGGAAAACTGGACAGCCACATGCAAAAGAATGAAACTGGACCTGTACGTTACACCACACACAAAAACTCATAATGGATTACAGAATTAAACATAAGACCTGAAAACCATAGAAATCATAGAAGAAAACATAGGGGGAAAGCTCCCTGACATTGGTCTTGGCAATGATTTTTTTGGACATAACACCACAAGCACAAGCACCAAAAGAAAAAACAAATAAATGGAACTACATCAAACTAAAAAGCTTCTGCATAAGAAACAATTAACAACGTGAAAAGGCAACCTATGGGAGAAAATATTTGCAAACCATTTACCTCATAGGGGGTTAATATCTGAACTAAAGAACTCACACAACTCAAGAGCAACAAAATAATCTGATTAAAAAATGGGCAGAGGGACTTCCCTGGTGGCACAGTGGTTAAGAATCCGCCTGCCAATGCAGGGGACACGGGTTTGAGCCCTGGTCCGGGAAGATCCCACATGCTGCGGAGCAACTAAGCCCGTGCGCCACAACTACTGAGCCTGCGCTCTAGAGCCCGCGAGCCACAACGACTGAGCCCATGCGCCGCAACTACTGAGCCCGTGTGCCTGGAGCCCGTGCTCCGCAACAAGAGGAGCCACTGCAGCGAGAAGCCCGCGCACCACAACGAAGAGTAGCCCCCACTCGCCACAGCTAGAGAAAGCCCGTGTGCAGCAGTGAAGACCCAATGCAGCCAAAAATAAACAAATAAATAAATTTATTTAAAAAAAAATGGGCAGAGGGAGATTTCCCTGGTGGCCCAGTGGCTAAGACTCCATGCTCCCAATGGTCAGATCCTATGTGCTGCAACTAAGAGTT